ATTCGGCATTCCCCCTCCATATCCGCATTCAAATCCCTCCTATTCCAAAAACAGTCAGATACTTGCTAAACTTTCAATATTATACACTTCTAGTCATCATCAAACGACGGTGCTATTCTATACCGAGAACTTCACTAGAGATATTACAATATGTTTCGGCTCTTAATGCCACTGGCCGCATCTATTGTTTGTTTTTTTATATTTATTATTATTTTTTATTGGTATATAATTAAATCTGTACCTCTAGCATTTGACAATGATGAGTCTACATATTATTCATTATTTAAAGACACTGATATTTTATATTGTCAGCTTTGTCTTTTCTTTGTTAGCAGAAACACACCTCATTTTAAAGAAGAACTCAATGTATTTTTTATTATTTTATTTTTCAAAAGACTATAATGATAATTTTTCCTACTGTACATAGGCTTAAGTGTTTTATCATAGTTTTAAGTGTTTTTGTATATAGATTTTTTTTTTGTATATAGCTTGTTTAACTAATATTTTCTTTACTTTCTCTTTTTTATTATTGTTTTATTTCGGCCAGATGTAGTATTTTAATTATGTTCTACTTTGTTATTCTGAAGGGACTTTGTCCCAGAATAAAGTTATTTTCTATTTCTATTTCTAAAACATCGATTGGACAGATTCTGTGGGCAGTTCTTTATTGTTACTTTTCCATGATTTGGTACTTATTCAATTAAAATATTTAATCAAATTAAAATATACTTGTACCAGGATAAATTAAATGTTAAAGATCGAGAAGAGAATATTGATTACCAACATTATTACATGTCGGTTCAGACATTTCGGTGGTTCGATTGCAATCAAGGAGAATTGAGTACTTGAATTTTATTTCATGGCAGACACAATGAATAATTTCAATTCGGAAAGCGTACAACCTGTTTGATAACCCGTTCTTAGTACATGAGGACGTTAAACCCACATAACAAATAATATAAAATTACATTCTATAGTTCGATAATTGGGTGTGAATAATATGCGATGTCTGAAACAGGATGTTCTTGCGTGATGCAAGATGCTGATCGAAGCTTGACCGATCAACTCCCCAGGTAACATAATTAACAACAATAACTACCAGGCGTTCAATTAACTTAATTTGTAACAGCGGGTTCGTTACGCCACGATTTCGTGAAGATAATATTGTAATATCTTGAACAAAATCTTAATTATATCAGATCTGAGCACGCATCGTTTCCAAGGTAACAGCATTCGCGCTTACTGTCGCAAAGGTGACAGATACTGTCATGTTAACTGCCACGTATATACGCCAACCACTGTCACAAACATCTAACCTAATCAACTGTAATGTTGGAGATGTTGTATAGTCTACTATCGACCAGTGTTGCCGTTTGTACGAGGATCCTCATATTTGTACGAGGTTATGATGTAATGTACGAGGTACGAGGATAGATCAGCCTCGTACCTCGCACATAAGCTTTGCTGACGTATGCAATACAAGGTTATATTTTTATGAATGAAGTTTAGAATTGTTTTACGGTTATTTCGACTGTATTATTATTTATATTGATATGAAATACTGAACTTCTGTTGCTTTATAGACCAAAAAATTGCAATTATGTCTTCTTTAATTAGAGTATGATTATTATTTCCTTTATAAAACCATGGTTGTATATATGTTTTTTTTTAATTTTCTAGAAAATAAAATTTTAAAAAAATTTTTAGATTTTATTCAGTATAAAATAAAATATAAGAAACCATATCCACTATTTCCTTCATAAAACTTTTTTTATAAATATGTATTTTTTAAAATGTGTTGTAAAAGAAAATTGAACAGAATTTTTACCGTCATTTTTATCGAGCATAAAATAAAATACGAGAAAGTATATCCATTATTTCCTTCATAAAACTACAATTATAAATATATTCTAGATAAATTATTTTTTTGTTTAAATTATTACCGTAATTTAAAAAATATATTTTCGATTTTTAATCGGGTAAAATAATTAATTGAAAAATTAACTAGTATTCATAATGAACCCATATTAAATAATGAAAAAAAAAGTATTTTTTCAGTGGTCCTCATTTATTTTGTGCGAGATATAATTGTAAGCTAAATACTGAAACAATCACAATCTATTATTTTTTTATATTATAATGGATATCTCTAAAAGCATCAATGCCCAAATAATTAATTTTTATTGGCCTTCTAGAACCACTAACATCCTTTCATAAAAGTAGTTGTTTTGTTTTTAGAAAAAAGAAAAAAAATTAGTCCTATCTTGGATCTACTAATGAATACTTATGAAGAGTACTTTAAGAAGTTTATTTAGCTACTTTAAACTTTTTTATATATTTTATTAAGCTAATTTTACTTCTTGACCCATTAACTTTAAAAAAAAGTAATGTAAAAAGGCTTTAAAATATATGAATGGAGGTAAAAATCAAAAATTCTGATCTAATTTTACTATTAAAAAAACAATAACACTGGGATTATAATAGTACAAGTTGTGAATGAACAAGCGTACGAGGATGTACGAGGCTTGAGTACGAGGTTTTGTCACAGAGCGCGCGATAACACTGCTATCGACTCAGTGGTGTGAATACCATTGGTGGAGAGCATTATGCCGAGATAAAATATATTTTAAATCTGTACTTTTTGCCACTTGTGAATAATTCGCTTAGTACATTGATCAGTATACAAATGACAAAAAAGAAATATGAAAACGAGTTGATACTATATATTATAGGATAGAAGAATTAATTACTTTCTATCGGTCACCGAAGGCTGTGAATCAAATTGACCAATAATCGGGTAAATATCGGCAATATTGATTTTTTTCCAAATAAGGGTTCGCTATTATGTTTTCAGAGATTACGCTTCGAACTTATTATATTAATGGGATTTCTTTGACATAAGAATCCACTATTGTTTTGTTGGAGGTGCTTTTTATAAACATACTGCCAAAAATTCGAAGTGCTACCTTAAATCCAACAGTATGTTCATAAAAAGCATCCCAGAAAACATATCAGTGGACCCATGTATCGAAGAAATCTGGAAAAGTGCCAAAATATCGAAGTGCGATTGCACGATCTTAAATTCAGCAGTTTTCATAAAAGGCGTCTCCAAAAAAATTTTTGTCAAACACGATATCGAAAAAATCCGGAAAGAATCAAAACTTGATACGCGTTTGTTGAATGTTGAATCCGACAGTATTTTCATATAAAGCGCCCCCGACAATATAATAGTCAACCCTTACTTGGGAAAAATCCTTCAAGATGAAAAAATTATTCGAACCATATTTTTATCTTGAATAATGAATAGTAGATAATACAAGTTATCTGTAATAGAGCGTGGTATTTTTTATCAAATAATTAACATTAGTGTTGCCCAAATGCGAGACCGAGACCGGTCTTGCAAACTCAGTCTTGGTCATGGTCTTGGACTTGCGCAAGAGTCTCGCAACAGTCTTGCAGTTACTTATTGGCTTATTACTGTAATATTTTAGATAGGAGAAACCTAACTAAGCCCGAACTAAAAATTAGAGGAGTTAAACGCAAAAGTATATTGGTCATACCAATTATAGTAACTAACATTGTCAATTATTAGTAACTATTTTATCTTAATTTTTATTCGAAAAATCGAAGATTTTTATCAAGAAATCGAAAATCGGTATCGAATAGACCGAGACCTATTTTGGGCAACACTAATTAACATGCGCCTAAACCTTCGTAAATAGCTTCATCTCCTCGTAACCTACATCTATTTTATTTACGAAAATTCTTGAGATTAGGGCGTTTTCAATCTGAAGATCGAAAAACTTTGTATATTTAATTTTGATAATAAAAACTAGTAAATGACCGTTTGCATTCCGCTTTAATCGCTTTAATAAAAAAAAAATTATGGCCTTAAAAAATATCGAAAATATTTGGCGTGACCTACACCTTCAAAATGTCAAAATAATGTGGTTATATAGGCCAAACGATCCAATATTTTTATAGGCCACCTTTTTTCTCGATTTTGTGATCAGATTATCTTACGATCCATGTGGAAAGCAAATCGGCACTTACGAGTTTTTAGTACCTAATTAAATAGACAAAGTTTGCCGATCTCCAGATTGAAAATGCCCCAATGATATCGAAGAATATTCATAAATAAAATAGTTTTAAGTTACCATGAGATTAAACTATTCACGAAGTTTCAGGCAGATGTTAATAAGTTGATAAGAAAAAAAGGTCTGTACCACGGACTATAAATACCGAATAACAAATAATTATCTGTTCAACGATCATCTAATAAGAATAATGAATAAAAATGTATATATTATTCATTATGTATGATATAATTTTTTTTATTTATTTATTTAGAACTATAACAATCAGTCACGTGGACAATGATTATATTGATATATGAACACATTCACACCATATATACAGAAAATATAAAATTAACAAAAGTAAAATAATAATCGAAAACAATGTACTATAAAAAAATAAAATAACCTAAAGATAAGTAAATTAAAAACATAAAAACACAGTCATATCTATATACAATATATACAATTAGGCAGGGAACCCCAAGCCAGGCTTCTCCAACTATAGGAGAACTATAGAAGGAAACCCCTCCAACTATAGAAGGAAAAGCAGGGCTCCAAGAGATCCCTGCTCTACTCTCTCAACCGGGTCACTGGTGCTAGAGCCAGTGGAATTTGAGCGAGAGCGCTTTACCACATCTATGATATATATATATATATATATATATATAATGCCCTACAGTGATATTCCTAGTGTCACCAAGTTTAATGTCAACATGTAGAAAAAAACCACTACCGATGCCTCTCTTTCGTGACGATACATTGATAAACTAAACGAGGCTTTAGAAACCAAGGATGTTCTCTTATCACTCTGTTGTATACCTATTGGATTGGTGTTATATACCATCGATACTAACTTATCAATAACACCTATTGATTGGTGTTGTATACCATGGATTGGTGTTGCATACCATGGATACTAACCTATCAACAACATCTCCTCGACGACCCTCCTCCTGATCTTCCTCCTGGTGATGAACCCCCTCCAGATGGTCTGTATCTTGAGCGCCGCCTGGCGCCCCTCCTCCTGCAGCTCCGCATCCTCCTTCGGCTCCGCCTTTACCTTCTCCTTCAGCAGCCTGATCTCCTTCATGAACCCCGCTCGCAGGCGCCCTTGCCGAGCTCTCTCGTGGCTCTGGATCAGTCTGTTTTTCAAGAAAAGTTACTTGTTACTTAACCCCAAACTGAAAATATGAATTAAGGACCTCAAATCAAGAAAAAAAAATAAGGTATGTTCGCAAACGCTTTGTTTTCATTGTTAAGAATTATTTATGATATATTAAAACTTATTTACTTGTTCCAGCTATTTTATTAATTTAACGTAAATATTAAATTCATATTAAATGTTGTTCAAAATGATTTCCTTGAGCGTTAAGACAGGTTCGGCTTCTTTCTTCAACAGCCGTCTTTCTTCATTGACCGGACTTGCATAGACTTTTTGTTTAATGACATCCCAAAAAAAAAAATCCAGTTCTGGTCTGGAGAGCGTGCAGGCCACGCCACTGGTCCTGCACGACCAATCCATTGATTGGGATAACTAATATTCAGCCATTGTCGTCTTCCGTAATGTGCATGACAACCATTTAATTGAAGCCACATGTCCCTTCTTCTCAGTTGTAGTGGAATATATTCGACTAAATCATAGTAATCATTGTTAACACATTAAAGGCGGGAGTCGTGGTACTACGATTTATCTCGACCAGCATACCTTCGTCAAGATCCCCGCCTTTAATGTGTTAAGAAATTCCAGAAATATTGCCGCATTTATTCGAGGCGGCAAGAAATGCAGACCTATTAAAATATTGCCTATTCTTAACATTTGGTATACATTGTCCTTAGTTCATTTTGGCCACTTAACCCCCATAACACCCTGTATATTTATTTAATATATATGCCTATGAAAAAATATTTATTATATATGAGTTTAGTCATTGCCACGATCTCCAACAGCAGAACATAAGTTAATGGTCCATTTGACCAATATTAGCGAAGATATTCCAATTTATGGTGTTTTACACAATGCGTTAAGCATAGTCGTGTGAGTGGCCATACCAGATATGTTTCTTCCTTTTCTATCGGCGATGCACTTAATCGTTAGTGCCGTTTCAGACTGCAATCCATAGAAGGGAGTGTTAAATAGCGTTAAGTTGTTGGAATCCTATGGGGATATATCTTTGGTGTCAAATCTCAAAAAAATCAGCACCATGATTTTGGGAGAATCATGGTATGTTGATACTGGAGAAAAACATTTTGTTTTCTACACATTTTTTATATTACTTGATCAATACTCATCCATAATACTTGATCAATTACAACTTAAGCTGCAGCCTATATACAATTCCATCAATAATTTTATTAGTTACTTATTAAGCCCGTTTCACGCGTTTTTAACCACTGTGGAAGATACTCATAAACTTTATAGACCTGCGCACTGCGTTTCCCGGCAGCTTGATGGAAGATTGTTTGATAAAATAATTACGAGTTCGTGTCCCAAAGCCGGGAGCTTTTAACTCTGGCATTTACTCCTTAACTTGCGGGAAACTCCGCAAAGCCTAAAAGACGAGGAAGAGCCTAGAAGAACAAAAAAAAAGTGTTCCAAGAGTGCAACCTTACTAATTTCACATTTATAGTCAGATTTATGTACCACAAACAAATCAAAAGGTCGCTGCGTTATCTGATTGGAATGAGCATCGAGGAGTGAAATCTAGATTAAAAATAAAAACAAACGAGACGAGACATTGATTTTAAATTTTACCTTATCGCTCTATCTTCCGTCATTATGATTCCAGTCGTGTCGACTTCGAAGAAACCCAAGTCCCTCATGATCTTGTCGATTGTTGCTCGTCTTTCTCTTATCTCAGTTTCCCTCTCCCTTCGGACCAGTCTGCAAAAATCATCATGATAGATAGCTTTTGTTCATTGTAAAACGAATCTAGAATGTTGTATCTGAAAGATAATACCTTTCAAATACTATTCTGCAGTGTAAATACATTTTTATACATCCTCAAAACTTGAAGGTTGAAGTGAATTGGTCTTACCTGAGCGGTTTGATCTCGGTATCTAAGATGGTGAGGCCCATCTCTTGAATTATGTCATCGAGGTAAGAGAACTCTGATAGATCTATAGAAACAAGTTCGTGTTTTAGTTCTAAGCATCTGCCGAGGGCGCACTCTAGCATCCTTTTCAGGAGTCTTCTTTTCTGCGGCTGAACAATCTAAAGCAGAAATATTTCTGGTACAAATAAACAAAAAATCATTACTGGTCAAAAACAATAATTATAAGTTTCAAACATTATATACATTCTCAATAGTAAAAGTATATAAACAAGATAAACGAAATCTCTTGAAATCACAAATAATTTTCTTTGAAAAATAAATTAATAAAAATAAAAAAGTAAGAAAAATAAAAAAAAATAAAAGTATGAATTGATCACAAATATAAAACAAAATTAAGACCATTTTCACTTCAAATCAATATCGTATTCTTCAATTGATATTTCAAAATTTGATTTTATTTTTGGTGCATGAGAAGAGGGTGGTTGGGAGGGAATTTGCATGGCGTATATTATGAGGTACGGAATTCCATAAGGCAGTGGAACAGCGGACAAGAAAGGAAAGTTCAAAGGTTTTAGTTCTGTAGAAAATACAATGTTGTGTTCCGATCTACATATTTTCTTGATTCTAGGAAACCATCAATTGTCAAAATTATCCAAAAATCCACCTGAATACCCATCCTCTCACCTATCTCTTTTTTATCAATCATGGAGAAAATCCTGGAAAAAAAATCATTTTAAAATTCCTACCACCTACATACTTCCTCATTATCAGTTTATACCTTACTTATCGATGCTTCAAAGTAAATCATAATAATGCATGTTCATCCCTTTTTTCCCAGTCTGCTGGTGTTCCTCAAGGGAGCATCTTCGGTCATATCCTTTATACAGATGATATCCTACCCCATCCCAACACGGTCATCACCACCTATGCAGATGACACTTGTATCCTAACTGTTAATAATGGCCCTTTAGTTGCATCGTATCCACTCCTTACAATCCAAAATCCTTCATGCACCATACATATTTTGTCACAAATAAAACCATTCATAAAGACCTTAATGTACCACATGTAGCTGATTCAACCCGAGCCAGATACCTATCGTTTAATGATAAACTCCAGTCCCATCCGAATCCACTTTTTTCCTGCCTTGCTTCTTCCTCGACTCCTGATAATCTTCCTAGGCGTCTGAAAAGATGGCCTCGTGATCTGCTTACCTAGAATTAAATATGGAATGCTAACACTGATCAGTATCTCCTTAAGTCTGTTCATGTCATTATTTCTAAAGTTTGCATTTTACTGGTTGTATTTTTTATACAGTTGTAAATTTCATTAAAGGAAGAATAAAAAAAAATTCTGTGGGAAGTGGTTAGAAGCATATGATTTTTTTATTGGTCCAAGTATTTCAATTTTAAGAGGTTGTAAATGTAGGAAGGATGCTGGGAATCATTTGTTTGATACAGGAAACATCCGAGAAAACATTGTCGACGAGAGGAGGGTAAGAGCCACTTTAACTCACCATAAAGGGTAACTTGAGACCACTCGGGATTCCGAAGACAAGTCTTAAAGAGCCATCGAAGAGTCGAAATTTTGTAAAATGAGTGAGGATACTGGAACCTTCCGTGTCAGTTATGGAAGAAGATAGCGGGAGAGATAGATAACTTGAATAAACTTATAACCGTCGAGAAATATTTATATTATTGTTTACTAACATTTGTCGATTTATGCCAAATGTTAAGAATTCCCCAAAGGGGACGGATTGGCCTAGCGGAATAACGCGTGTGCACATCACCTAGCAACTGAGTTCGCGTACCGGTGTCAAGAGGGATTTTAACTCTTCCATTATTCCCCCGTCCTCGCCCCTTGGACCGGGAAAATCCCGTATAACCTAAAAGGGAAAACAAAAAAAAAATGTTCCTCTATCTATCTACAGAATCGCGGTGACAAAAATTAATATATTTGGTGATGTAGAATTCCCAATGAATCTAAGATAAGTTTCTGCCATGCTCTATAGCTGTGCAGTGCTTCTACAAGAAATCACTTGTAATAAGAAAGATGGTACCACCAGTACCGAACCCCATTCCTTAATAGTGGACAGTAGCGGATCCAGCATTTAATTTTGAGTTGTTTTTTTTTTTTTACTAATTACTTTGGAAGAAAATAAAATAAACTATTTAAAATTACGTTTAAGCTGTTCTTGAAGGGCTGTTAAAATAATAATAATAAAATAAATAAAAATGTAATTATAGGAATAGCAATGCTTTTAGGGATAATTTTTATATATTTTTTTCTGGACCCTGGTTATAATTATAAGCTATATATATATATATATATATATATATATATATATATATATAATATATATATATATATATATATATATATATATATATATATATATATATATATATATTATAATAAACAAATATAGACTATGAAAAATACATCTATTTTTCTATTTTGGGAGGCTTCGGTACGAAAGACCCTTCTCCATGCTTCTCTCCTTGTAGCTACACCAGTGATGGCGAGATAAGTAGTCCAGCAAGTGTGATCTTTATTTGCCAACCCCTGACAGTTACCTCTAGGTTGCTGACATACCGTACATACCAGAGTGGGAATGTCAAGTTTCATTTCTCGGAGCTGCAGAGAAATAAATATTTACCAACCAAGGTGGGAATCGAACCCACAACGTTCCTTAACTATAGCTCAAAAAGTTAAGATACATAACAAGAGAGACATGTTGTGTCAATGAACTGGAAGGTACCTGGTCGTAGCAGAGGTCCAACTTGTTGACCGCTAGGAGGTACATGAGGTACAGCCTCCCGACAGCTCGCCTGGCCACCTCCTTATCTTTGGTCGGCTTGGCGGACTCGGCCTCCACGTCCAGTCTGGTAGCTTCGTCGAGGAGGTGCACTGCTTCTGACCAGACCAGGTTGTACGTCTGGTTCGACATCTTGGTTCTACAAGATAAATACTATTATCCTATTATACTATTATACTAAATACTATAAAATACAATTATAATAAATACTATTATACTATTATATTAAAAGTAAATACTATTCGTATTTACAATTAAACTAGTAGGCCCGTGCGAAAAATTTGAACAGCATGTCGTTATCAAATGCCAAATTAATAAGAAAATAAAATAATGAAAGATATAAAAAGCTAAAGAAATCAACTGTTACTTTATTGATAAATATAATAGACAAAGGAATAATAATAATAATAATAAGGCTTAGCGAACCCGAAGGTTCGATGCCGACACCACCAATCGCTTGTTACACACCTCCCTCCACCGTTCGCCGTCCAAACCCAGTCTCTTCAGATCGGCTTTAATGCAATCTTCCCACCTTCGCTTCGGTCTACCCCTCGGACGCTTACCATTCGGCACAGCAAATATTAACCTTTTAGGAATTCTCTCGTTACTAAACCCAACAACTTTACAAGCCCATTTGATTCGCCGCGCTGAAATTACCTCAATTATATTACCCGGATACAGCTCACGCAATTCGGCGTTGTGTAACCGTCTGAACTCTCCGGTTAACTCATCCTTGATAGACAAAAGAAACGAAAATTAATTTAAATCTTAATTAATATTTGGAACCAACATGTTTACAAATTTCAATAAGCTGTATCTTTTCTAAGCATTGTCCGATTTCGATGATTTTTTTCCTTTTGTAGGGAATTTATTAATCTTTTATATAATCATGGGCATAACCATAGGAAAAGTGTGTAATTTTTATTAGTTATTCGCAAATAAAGTTTCTTTTCTTTCATAACTTGTTTGCCTGAATTTTCGGGTGATTGGACTATTTTGTCCGCCTGAAGGAGAAGGAAGCCTTCGAAATTGGTGGCTCAATCTTGAGATTTGGTGAAGAATTAACGATGATATGGCTTGCCGATCAAAAACACCATCGATAAATAATATAAACTCCTCCTCTCTCGATCATAGAGGCCTCAAGTCGACGAAATGAGACATGTATTCAATGACAGTACTACAATTAACGTAAGGTTGTGTGGATGCGAACCCTATGCCTTGCGTTATCTCGAAAATAGTACGTTTTTGGGCTTAAAAACGCAGGATCCGATAGTTCCGGAGGAACTATCCGGGTCTTGCTGTACGCATCAAAATCTTCAAGATCCAATTTGTCCCGTATCGATCTACAGACCTACCACCGTTCCAGTATTGAAGCCTAGCAAAATGTTTGTATCGACTTTATTTATTTTAGAAAGAAAAACAAAAGTGGAGAATACGATTCGCTAACCCCCCGTGAAATTCTGAATCCAACGGTACCCCATTCATGGTATTTGAGCATGACAGGAGCTTATATTTGGTACAAAACCGATTTCGAGCCTTACTGTAATAATATATGCGGGGATAATAATATATGTGGGGATAATAGCAATACCTGTTAGCTAATAATAGGAATATTAAATATATATGTGTGTGGTTGTATATATATTGCATCCACTAAGTACTAACGGTTTTAATTTAGATCTGTTATATCTCTTGAATTGGGATTCGTTATTTCTTTATGAAATTCGGTTTTTTATTTTTACACCTCGTTTCTCAAAATCCTGTTGAGAGGTGGAAAATAGTCCTTTACTATTTATGCTATACTCTTAACACGAATAACTCAGTAGAGTAGACATCCGTACTGTTGAAATATTTATAATCACAGATTATATCATTACCATATTACTTTAATTCCCAACCATCGCTATTCACTACCGATTTCGCGCGAAGGAAGTGACCTACATTACAAGTGTCGCCCAAATGCAAGACCTAGACGAGTCTTGCGCAAGTCTTGCAATCACCTATTAGCTTATTACTATATATGTATGACTGTTTTTAGAAAGAAGAAACCTAACTAAGCCTGAATGAAAAATTAGAAGAATTACGTGCATAAGTATGTTGATTATATCAATTCATAACATATAGTAACTAAAATTGTCAAGTATTGGTAACTATTTTGCATTAATTTTTATTCAAAAAAATCGATTTTTTTACCAGTCTTGGTCTTGGTCTTACAAAGTGCATGCAAGACTTTTGGGGAAAACTAATTAATGGTACTCATTGGACGCAGAATTCGATGCTCTACAACTTTTATTTATGAGTTTTTTCTCTTAGACAACTTATTTCCAAGCTGCAGCATTTCAAGTAATTTGTATCAGTTTTTTACGAATTCGGTAAAAATCAGTATGGCTTGACCGTGGTTATCGTCCTTATCACTAAACCAAATTATTAAGTTTCGGTACTTATTCGACGCATAATTTAACGTTCTTTGATTTCTTAAAGAATACGTTTTTCGCTTCAATGCAGCATTTAAGAGTTATAAATGAAAAATTAAAATAATATGTGAATAATCTGTTGTTTTTTTTCCTGTAAAACGTTTTACCTTTGTGAACCACGTTACATATCTGAACGCATATATACAAGTTAAAAGAAAATTATCCCACATTTTTCGCAATGTATTTTCCGTTTCGGTCCTCAAGTTTCTGGTCTAATATTCTTATAATCTGGCACCATTTTTACATGTAGCAATACTGACCGGCTGGCAGACTGCTTTTTTTTAATACATATGTTATAAATATTTTTTAAAAAATTTAAGTTTTTATTAGATAATGTCAATTTTTTTTCACGGGCTCTCGAACTATATAGATACCCCTCCGGTTTAGTGGTATTTTTTTTTTTAGATGTTGACGCAAGATGTGGCCCCTCATTCATTTGATCTTATCTTATTCTTCCTTTAATTATAGTGACTACGTTTGTATCAGATTACGGGATAATGATCATGCCAAGTTTGACTGAAAAAGATATTTCCCACCATTTCTTATTTTATTTTTTAAAAAATAACACAACAAAAATATAAACAACAAATAATAATGCGACAAATTAGTTTATTTACCAATTGACGTACATTACGCAAAAAAATTATATATTTTTTTTAAATTGGACAAGATGATAAAACAGACGTGTAGAACTAATCATGAAGGCTATCGTGAAGGGATTGAGTAGGTTAAGTAAGCAGGTTCAAACTCGAGGATCTCATGGTGTAATACATAGTTCGCCCAAAACGTTGTTTAATCTATATAAATAAAATAAAGGTTTGACTGTAAATTGAATAGAATCAACCCGTTTCATGCATTGCAGACACCAAATCAACTTTTAAAAATTTTTTTGTCTGTCTGTATGTCCGCATTGCAACGCAATTTTGTCAGCTCAGCAATGGCTTATTGTAGACTTTTGAAATTTTGGAATTGTATTGAGGTTTGCTTGACTTAGAATATAGGCTTTAAATGAAAACAAAATATTGAGTAGAACCAAAGTTATGAATTCTTGAGTGATTTGTCTGGAGATCCCGGTTAGGCAATTAATTACTTTGATTACTATACCAACCTACTCTATCGTGAGCCACATTTAAAAGTTGTACTATTCAACTGATGGAATAGATTATCACAACGCAACGAGAAAAATCCGGAATACCGAACATCTGTAACGCGTTATCTTATAATACGTGTAAAACAAACTAATTTTTCAACTTTGTCCGATCTTCCCGTACAAGATGTCATTCGATTCATCTTCTAGAGTCTAACAAATGTTGCCGTATACATTTTTAGGATTAACCAAACGAATCAGGGAAAAATCAGGGAAAATAACTCAAAAAATTTCACACAATATTCAGATCAAGTTCTAATTTTACACGGATGTAGGTGACTCAATGTAGAATGTTATTTTGCTTATTTTGCCAGCGATAAAGAACTGGAGAGACTCTTTTATATTAATTAATAGACTCCACAATCTCCTCGCTTCATCACAAATGAAAATTAAACACTTGACAAATTTTACTGGATCGGTGGCGATCGGTTTAGTTGTGTGGTACCTAAACAAATAGCCGAATAACAAAGTTTTTCTTATAACTATTGCGAAACCTTGACTTCCATAAGCCCCGTCATAAAAAATTTCAAAACAAGTCCCTCCCCAAACAAGTCCCGACCCAAGTTTATGAAATTGAATTTGGACCGCCCCCCTCCCCTCATCGCCACAATACAAAATCCATCTCAAAAAAAGATTCTCAAATTTTAACTATACACCCGTGCACCATAGTTTCAGCACCCACTATCATTAAATTTAAATTTCCCTTAAAACTTTAATATATAGTCGACTCTCGATAATTCGAACTCTTCAGCTGTTAACTTCGGCAAATCGAATAATTGCTATGTTTTGATACACCCGATAACTCGAAAACCATTTCGTATAAAAAAGAGAAAAGAAAACCGTTTCGATTTTGAGAATTTTAATTTGGAAAAATTAAAAAATCCATCAATTAGAAACCAATTCGAGCTAGATGTTAAGAATAGGTTTGAAGCTTTAGAGCTTCCTGACGAGGACCACGAGGATATTGACAAGTTATGGGTAGAGATCAGGGATAATATTAAAGCGGTCGGTAACTCGTGTCTAGGAAAAAAGGAAAATAAGAATAACAAACCGTGGTTTGATGAAGATTGCTTAAACATGTGCGAAAAAAGGAAAGCCGCTAAATTAAAAGCTCTAAATAATCCTAGCGAAGACAATCTGGAATACTTCCGAATCTCAAAGAACGAAACGACAAAATTGCTCAAAAATAAAAAAAGGGAGTATCTTAAAAATAAAATAATTGAAATAGAAACTAATAGAATCGAAAATAACGTAAGAGACATGTATAAAGGTATAAACAGATCACGTAAATATGTAGGGCCCGTAACGTCTGGAATTAGGGATGATAATAACAATATTCTGACCGATCCGGTTGACATATTGAATAAGTTTAAGGACCACTTTGACAATATTTTAAATACGGGAAATTATGATCTGTGTCCTCCTTCTGAGTACCATAGTGCTGAACCGTTAATAGAAGGACCAAGTAAAGAGGAAGTTGAAGTAGCTATCGGTAAATTAAAATCATATAA